GTCCGAGCTGATCAGCCATTTGATGCGGATTATCGTCGGTAATGAAGGTCGAACTGTCACTTATGTAATCCTGAATACCTTAATGAATCGCCCTTTGGCGTGGACTGAGATTTTGGCAAGCTATGGCTCAGCAATGCGCCGTTGGTGATTCAGGGATGTGTATAAACTTTTCTTCAGTAACCGACCCTTTTGAACTTAACTTCCCCACCCAAACGAGACTGACCTTTGCAGTTTTATCAGTCTTGGGGTGACTCTGAGTCACCTGACGACGGTGTCTATACCGTTTAACGGCACTACTGTGTCCCTGATATAACCTGCATAGCAGATGCCAAAGTGCCATTAGAGTGGTGCGGGCAAAGTTGACCTACTTACAGGACGATAAACAGACTTATCGTTTTTTCCTCGGAGGCCCAGCCCTTAGATCTGATGGGCGGTCGCGCCAAGACTAGTGACGAATCCTAGAGCAGTATTTAAAAGGGAACTGGGGCTTGAAATATCAGGCTTATTTTTTATCCTCAACCAGCTGTACCTCAACTGCCAATCTGTGTAGTCACTCGCACTGATCCTCTCGAGCTTGCGCATTTCCAGCCATTGCGATTTTCCTTTGCGCGATCAGACTATAATGGGGATGTTGCCTATCTTTTCGAGAGTCAGCTCAATTCAGACCATCTACCGATGAGGACGCATCTTCGCCTACTTCAAGGCATACCGGTGGGTAGTTACTCATAGAACCCGAGCGAAATGCCATCTGTTCAATCCATCTGGCTGTTGATAAAAAGATTGCGACTGTTCCGCCTTCTTGACTTCTCCGACTGTACTCAGCAGTCACGCGTACGTCCAAACCAATGATAGCAACTATCAAGGCAGAAGATACTATTAAGGACAAAATAGTAAGGGATAAACAATGTACAAACCTCAAAAATGGATACACCTTAGAAGAAGAAGATGCGATCACTGGAACAAGAGTTGTTTTCCTGACGTTTCGGATTCTGTCGAGAATCCTTAATCATAGGTAATCGTAGGAAAGTCGGAGACATGCGCAAATAAGGGTGATGCATGCTCAGATTGCACGGTATTTATAGTTCGTAGCGGTCATCCGCATGCGTACTATAATTGTCAGTTCCCGTAGTCATAGTTCGTAGCGGTCACCCGCATGCGTACTATAATTGTCAGTTCCCGTAGCCACCGCTTGAGGTCTTAATTGATGCGGTGATGGCTAATTACTTGCCACAGTTTGCTTATTAGCGTCGGATGCAGGCTTGGTAATTGCGGGACAATTATGCCCGCTGTCGTCAGAGTTGTTGCTGCGCCCGGCCCTTCCCACGTGACTGATTCTCCTGCTCTGAAAACCTCTCAGTGCACCATATGGGAACGCAAAATTGTTGCC